GTTTTTCAACTTTTTATAATCTCACGAGAGCATATTGAGATTTCTCAACTTGTTTATAGCCCTTACGTTTCCATGATTTTTTCGCTGCTTCTAGGGGAAAACTAGAACAATATACATAATATCATCACCGGATCGAGTTCCCCCATCCAAGAGGAAATGGAAAAATAAAACAAATGAAGTAAGTGTGATTATAGATTACTGTACGCTTTTGACGAAAAAAATATATCCTATAAGCTTTCTTAGTGATCCCTGTAAATTGTATTCACAGTTTAAACTTAAAATAATTGACAATCCTTGTAGATTGTTTTCTCCTCCCATTGAAAGATGCTGCCTTTTCATCTTAAAACCAGTTCCATGTATTATATTTTTTTTTTTTTGGATCTTGCTGCTTTTGTATTGCTTTTTAAATTTCCAGACCAGTATTTCTGCCACTTCTCGCCTCATATACTGAAATATCATTCAAGTTTACTTGGGATACTATGGTTTGGAAGAAATGGATGTGTAAAACTAAAAGTAAATACAAATGCTGCTGGGCTAAAAGAAGATGAGGCCTTGGAAGGCAAACCCTAAAATTACAATGTTATTTGGTCCACTGAATCACAATGCATGTAGCGATAGTCATATCAGCAACCTCTCCATAGTTCAAATCGAGGAGCCACTTGATGCTCGAACAAATGAGGGTACTAGCCTATAGGTGTGTCATGTGTGATGTGATCCTGGATGTGATCATAATATATAATTTGTTTTCTTAATATTTCTAAAATAGAAATGGATCAAAGGGACATTGTAATCATCAAGCTTCTACTGACTAATGCTGATAAACTAGAAGTTATAGTGGAGAAGAAATTCCATGGGATCTGTGCAGCTTTCGTGGTCACACCAAGACCAAGTTCATGTTTTGATCAAAAACCATGTTTTCAATATGCTTCATACTATTGTTCTCATTGGTCCTTGCTCTCACCATTTCCGTCCTATGATGGTGAGAGCAAGGACCAATGAGAACCAAAAGAGGTGTAAACCAAGCTACAGCAACTTTCATAAGCCAAAGACATCATCAAGACCAAAGAATTCATAAGGTACCACAATCTACCAAGTTGGACAGAACATATATGCCAGAAGTTTAGCGATAAACAGAGGACCAAATCAGCTTGTAATTGGATGACCTTGGTCAGAAGATAGATCTTTGAGTTAGCTTTACAACGGAGTTTGAATCATATCATTTGGAGCTGTGAGCAGGAAGTTACACCCGATTTAGTAAAGACGTGTCAAACTGCCTCAGAGCCGAAGCAAGTCCAATATCGGACCAAACATCAGGGCGTTCCCTGGACCGATGCTTCAGCCTGATGACAGCATGAATCAAGGCACTTTCAAGTAAACACCGGTTGTGTCCCTTGACCGATGCTTGGACCGGTGTTTGGTACAGTTTCGACCAAAATGACTCTTTTGCCCTAAACTAAGACCTAGAAAACCCTAGACCTATATATACTTCTTTTTAGCCTCTTGTTACGGGTGTGCCGAAATATTTAGGTGATTTTTATCATAGAAGAGCAGCCACCACGAGCTCCTTGGTGTTCTTCATTAGCTTTGGATTTTAGAGCTTTCGGTGGATGATATCGCTTTGTATCTCGATATAGAGAAGAATCCTCTTACCTTTACTCTTTAATTCAAGTGTATCTATTATGAATTCA